TTGCTTGAAAGCTCTGAGATAGATTCTGGTAGATGCAAATCAAGGTTTCCTACACCCATAGCTGCACTTTTTCTATGATCCTACACCATCATCCCTCAAGACCCCTAATCACTCTGGTCCCACAGGGCCAGAAACAGTGGGAGCCAAGGGACAAGGTCCAGAGATTTAGTGACTCATCAGTGACAGCTGAGGCCAAGGTCAAGGAAGACAACCACATCCTCCCTTTGGCACTCTCTTGGGGCAGCTGAATATAAGACCCACAAACATTGAGCACTTACTGTGTACCAGGCACCATGAAGGCTTCAGAAAGCTGATGAAGAAATGGTTTCTGTCCCCCAGGGGCTAGAGTTCCTCAAAAGAGAGATAGGTGCCAACATAGCTCACTCCTTCAAGGTATGTTGGGGTGGCCTATGATGACAGAGCTCAGGTAGCATGTATGAAAGTCCCAAGCACCAGACCTGTCACATAGTAAGTGCTCTGAAAATGGTAGTGCACAGGAAGTGACTATAAATTATAACAACTGTCAGCTGTCTTAGATGTGAAATCTAAACCCCATTGTGTGTGTGTGTGTGTGTGTGTGTGTATGTGAAATAATAATTATAGCTCATGCTTATTAAGCATTTACTATATACCAGGATCTGTTGTAAGTACTTTAGATATATTATTTCACTTAAATCTTTGTAACAACCCTATGAATTAGGAACTATTATCCCCATTTTACAGATGAAGAAACTGAGGCACAAAAGGTTAACTACTTTGCTCATTGTCCTGTCATGATTGGCAGATCTAGAATTTAAATTTAGATCATCACATTACCTACCACCTTGGCCTCTTTCACCAGGGTAAAGATGGAGCTGCTTCCAATAGCACTGTCTGTCCCCAACCAGGAATCTGCCAACATGTCCCTGCAGACTGCCTGTTGTGTGTCTAGGATGTCAGTGTAGACTGGGAGTGAGGGGAGCAGTGTGTGTACAAAGTATAAAAGAGGCTCAAGTATGGCAAGGACCCTGCCTTCATGGGAGGAGGCTTATATTATAGCTGAGAAGCCTCTACTAATAATCAAAACCCCAAACAAACCCCATTGCCATCAAGTCAATTCCAATTCATAGACACCCTATACCAGGTGTCATGAAGTCAACTCTGACTCATGGCGACTCCATGTGTGTCAGAGTAGAACTGTGCTCCATAAGGTGTTCAACGGCTGATCTTTCAGATGTGAATCACCAGGCCCTTCTTCTGGGAAGCCTCTGGGTTTACTCAAATCTCCAACCTTTCTATCAGCAGCCAACTGTTTACTGTTTGCACCACCCAGGGCTCTATTAATAACAATAGCAAAGCTCATACAACGTTCACTATACCACAGGCCCTGCTCTGGGCACTTTATCACACACTCACCTGTGAAGCCTGTCCTGTCACTGCACCTCCTTGAACAGATGGGGGTTGGCACACAGACATGCAAGTAACTTGCTGAAGGGCTAGAGCTGCTAAGTGGCTTTGCTGGGTCCAGACCCGGCATTCAGGACACAGTCTGTGGTCTTACCCTTGCTACTGTACTGCTTCTTGCTAAAAATGCTTTTAGCATTCCAGGATGTTAGAAGATAAGACAGGAGAGTGCAGGGTTGGGGGCAGCCTGAGAGAACATCACTCAGATTTCTCAGGGAGGTCTTGAGAGGGTATGCCACAGTCACAGCTCTGACTCCCTGTCCACAACAACAGATGGGCAGGCAGCAGTGGAGAGAGGGGCTCGACAAAATGCCCACATTTAGTGTAGGAGGCAGAGAGGAGGGAGGCCAGGGTGGCAGATCCCTAACGCAGTCCCTCCCAGGAAACAGCTGGCACAGGGCCTTGGGTCAGAACTGAGAACCTGCTGCTCTAGGGGCAGCTGCTGTGTAGTAAAAGCCTTGGGCCGTTAGACGGAAGGTGCCCACTGCTGGACTCCACCTGAGCCTGGAGTAAGAGTCAGCCTTCTGGGAGGGTCATTCAGGATGTGGCTTATCTCACTTCTGTCCCTCCTCTGGAGACTCTTCCCCAACGCCCGGCCCCCACCCCACCAGGCATATAAACACATAGTGGCCCAATTGCAAAAAATGGCAATTGGAGCCTTGGGTATTGCTATCAATATTTCATGCCTCAAACAACACTGTCTAAACTACACCTATGAAACATGAATGGATTGAGGTTTTAACAAGCAAATAGCCCAGGCATAATACGAGGGTGATGAGGAGGGGAGAGGGACAATGAGGAAGAACCACTCACCACACCCCTGGAGTCAGGCCCAGGGTTTACGGAATAGGTGTCCTCCCCACTTGTAGGGTCACTGGGGCCAGTGTGCTGAGCATGGGACTGAGCCAGAGTCTGTGTCTGCAGTCTGAGGCGACTATGTCTGTACTCTGTGGGGAAGTGTTCAACTGACTGTCCACCAGGTCTCTGGAACTTTGGGGATCTAGATACCAAGGGGAAAATAAGTGTGGAGCTTAATCAGAGTACTCAAAGGCCCCTCCTCACCACTGGAGGGAGGCCAGTGATTCAGGCCTCTGGGGTCAGAGAGCAAGAGAGAGAGGAAGGCTCGGGTCCTGGGTGGTCTTTTTGGATTTCCCTCCCTCCTCCCTGGAGTTGCTCAGCCCTATCCTACTGGGCACTCAGGGTGTTGAAGCAGCTTCTCTGTCCTGGAGAGCCCTCACCAACCCTCCAGAGGGGCGGCTGTGGCACCCCTATGCTTGTCCCTCTGGAGTGACAGTCTAGACCCTGAGCTGTTTGGGCAGGGGAGGAACCCCAGCCTGGGGTGATGTGAAGGTCCCACACTACAAGGCATTTCTCACCTCCCTCAACCTTCAAGGCCTCTGTCTACAGAAGCCTTATCCCCAGGCCCCTTCCTCTCTGGCTCAGAGGTCATACACTGTCCAAGAGGTCACAGACACTCAGGCCTCAGTTTCTCTGTATATAAAACGAAGGGGTTGGTCACGACTTCCTCTGAGGTCTCTTATAACCCTAATAGCTCGCAGGTTCGTGATTCACCACTCTCGGCAGAAACCCCACGGAACAAGGTCCTACTCTCTGCAGTAAGACAGCAGCTGAGAGTGTCAGTGAGCTAATGTGACAAGGTGAATGAGATGGACCAGTGTAACTCAGACAGCTCAGATGGGGAACATGCTGGGATCTCTGTCTCTAGGGAGTGGGCATGAGAGGAGGGGCAGCCAAGGCTAGGACTGGGCTAAGGGGCTGGCTTCTATAGGGGGTCAGAGGATGGACACCTGGTGTCCAGTGTATACTAGGGGACATTGACCCATTTGAGCTTGTTTGGAAGGTCCAGTGGGAAGAAGGGGAGCAGGAGTGACAGGCTGGGTAAGCAGTTCATTATAGCTTTTAGTGGAGCTGGTCTCTGGGGTCAGGGGTCCAGCCTGGTTCCCCAGTGAGAGATCGATTAGCTAGTTGGCCCCACCTTCTCCCTGGGGCTCCAAGCTGGATGCTGCCAAAGTCTTCAGCACAAACATGAACCCTCCCTGAAAAGAGGGTACAAAAGAGAAGAACTCAGGGCTCTCCAAACATTCCCATCATAAACATGCAGGGAGCAGGTTGGTTCCAGACCTTTGGCCAGGAGGGGTACATAAAATGGCTCTTCTGGGGTCTGCCTTGCATGGTACTGGCTCCTGGCCTGAGCAAAGCTGAGTTAACAGCTTCAGGACCATCATTTGCATTTGGGAAGACCCCACCAACCATAAAAGAGAACTTTGCTGCAACTACTAACCTAAAATTTGGTAGTTTGTGCCTCCCAGCAGTCCACGGAAGAAAAGACTGGCAATGTGCTTGTTAAAATTACAGCCAGGAAAACCAACCGTATGGAATAGTTCAGCTCTGTAACACATGCGGTCACCATAAGTTGGAATCAACTTGATGACAGTGGCCTAGTGGTGGACATTCAGGCGGTGCCCAGACAGTTGGCATGGCAGTAGGTTGGGTGGTTGAAAGCCAGTGGCAGCCCATTAAAACTTACTATAGGGGGCCACCTACTTGCCAGCCCAGGCCAGCTCTGGGCCAAGAGAAAGTCTGTAGTTGCTTTCAGAAAAAGGTGCTTCATCTTCTAAGAAATTACAGGGTTGATGATAGCTGCTGATTTCCAGAGGTTTCAAAATTGGTGGGGGGTGGCACAGGGAGGTTTTCTGTAATCCTCCACTGATGGATTAGATGGTGGGGCAGATCTTGCATGAGCAAGGGATGACCTTGAGAAAATGTGGATTCTGTCAAAGGGAAGAGAGAAATAATCTCCCTTCCTCAAACTGCTGCCAGTAAGCCTTCCCAGTGCTGGAGCAGTTGACAGAAACATCACTGCTGTTGCCTCCCGACCTGGGAGGCTGTAACATTTGACTGCGTGATAAGAAATTGCCAGGCACTTTCTAATTACAATTATCATCATCGTGGATGTCTTTCTTAATTACTTTCTTATAATTAGCTGTTGCTTTTTTTCCCCAGCATTTGTGTACTTTGCAGATTTGCTGACATTTGAGAGCCCCAAAATAGGGACATTTGGGGAGGAGAGGAGAAAGGTGGGGGGAAATGAGAGGAACTTGGTCCTTCCCAGTAGCCTGATACATTCCAGGGTCTTTGCAAAAAGACATTGGGGCAAGTTGAAAATGGAAATGACAGGTCATTTCCTGAGCTGATAGGGAAATAGCCAATGGATTTAAGGGTTGGGCTTTGTGGAGGGTCTCTAAATATTAAACCCTGGAGGGAATATTCTTGAAAAGCCACCAGGGCTACTATTTCTTGGGTTTGGGTGTCATTTTAAGAAACGAGGCTGGGATGAAGCACACACTTCTTGGATCCATGTTGGAGTTAATTAAATGACTTCAGTCAGGAGTAGCTTGATTTTCCCCAAAGCGGTGATGCTTTCAGAGCATCCCTGGGCACCAGGGAGTTGTTACAAAGTGGTTTATGCTCCTTGACCTGATGGTTGTTTTCACTGTTTGTTCTGGTTCTTCCTCCCTCTCTCCTGTCCTCTGCAGCCCTGTGTACGGAAGAGTGTGTGCATGGCCGGTGCGTTTCCCCGGACACCTGCCACTGTGAGCCCGGCTGGGGAGGGCCCGACTGCTCCAGCGGTGAGTCTGAGGTCTGCGGGGGTCAGGAGACCCTCTGGCTCTGATGTGAGAGGGGGCCATGGTGTGTGCAGGCTGAGTTCTTGTGTGTCTGGATGGGGTGACTCTGTATGACTGCTTCAGAGAGCATGGCTTCATGGAAGAGGCTTTACTGCTGTGTAGTACATGATGGCACCTCTGGAGATGGAGGAATCTGCAGGGGTGTGAGGTAGTGGCTTGTGGGGACCCATGGGGGGCTGTTGTGTGTTGTATTTGTTGAGAATTGTGGAGTCATCTGTACAATTCTGACTTTTGATGGAACACCTTTAGATATGGTCTCTGGGAGTTGAAAGATTGCAGACCCAGGAGGTTACCATGGTCTAGGGCTGGTTTTTGGCTTTGCTGATCCAAACGTTCAGTTATGAGGTTGCCCATAGAGGCTCAGGGATGACTGATTTATAAGATTAAAGAGCACTTGGATCCTCTGTGTCCCCAGTGGTAGAAGAATGGGACAATCATCAGGGCAGGTCACTGTGTTCCTACATCTCTATGGGTAGACAGTTCACAGAAGGTCTCCTAGTGAGCACAGAATGCCAGCCCTCCAAGTTAAGTGAATACTTTCAGGGCTGACCCAGTGGCCCACATCAACATGGATTATCATCTTTATGGTGGGGCTGGATTGACCAGAGGGCAGGGTGCACCTGGATGCTGGTCTGAATGCTCTCTGCCAAGAGCCTAGCTGCGGGCACAGCCTTCCTCTTTGGCTCCTTTTCTCCAAATAAAGATCAGTCTCTTTGTGTTGGCACACTTTTCGGTCCATGGTTGGGTAACGTCATGATCTTGTTTGATTTTCAGAGAGGCTTGGATTAGTGCTGCAATCCAAATTTCTTCCTGCTTTGAGCTGGGATAGAGTCTGTCTTTCTATGGTGACTTGAGCAGATAACTGATTCATTATTTACACTTCCTTGGGAGCCACCTCTCAGTTCCCTATCCTACACTGACTACAATGGCCTTGAAAAATGGGAGAGGAAGATGTTGGGTCTACGTTGGCTCAATGTCGTGCTCTTGTCCTTTCCCACTCACTCTGCTGGGGTGGAAATAGCTACTTACATCCTTTTCTCAAAGGTCCTAACTGTCTACCCAGAGCATAAGAATGTACTGGCCAAGCCAAACCATTGGGTAAGTGGTATTGTTTTTAATTTGGGTGGTTATTTTGGCACAGGGACCTCAGGATCTGTACCTTAAAGACTCTCTACAATGCATTGAAACCACTATGGCCTTCTGCCTCCACCTGTCATACTTCTTTGAGATAGACTGTAGCTGAGAAACAGGTGTAGATACTCCTCCAGACAACAAAAGTAAACCTAGAGGACACATGAATTAAAGGAATGTGTTAAACCCATCTTTCTGTGGACTTGAACTAGTTACTTTCCCATTTAACAATTTATGCACAAATTATTCCATGACATTGGTTGCTATCCCTGCAATTCACACTCTTCCATTTCCATCCTGCCTTCCCTGTTTCCATCCCTCCAGTTCCCCTGCCCCTCATCTCGTTTCCCTACCTTCTCATCTGCCCGTTTAGTCTCTATAGTTGATTATTCTAAGAAGCACATTCTTCATGGGTGTTCTTGTTTATTATGTAGGCTAATCTATTAATTGGCTGAAAGGTGACATTCAGGAGTGACTTCAGTTCCAGGTTAAAAGGGTATCTTAGGGGATAGTCTCAGGGGTTCCTCCAGTCTCTATCAGTCCAGTAATTTTGGTCTTTTTCTTTTTTTTTCTTATGAATTTGAGTTTTGTTCTACATTTTTCTCCCATTCTATCTGGGACCTTCTATAGTGTCCCTGGTCAGAGTGGTCAGTAGTGGTAGCCAGGAGGAGACTGTGGTTCATGTTGGTCATTTGTCCTATGGACTAATTGTTTCTTTGGGTCATTGGTTTTCTTCACTCTCCTCTGCTCCACATGGGAAGAGACCAATAATTGTATCTTAGATGACCACTTGCAAGCTTTTAAGATCCCAGACACTACCCATAAAACTAGGATGTAGAACATTATCTTCACGAACTGTATTATGCCAAATGACCTAGATGTCTCTTGAGACTGTGGTCCTTAGCCTTCAAATCCAATAACTCAGTCCCACAAGGTGTTTGGATATATCTAAAAATTTTCCATAACTGTGCCCCCTACATGCTCTATTATATTTATAAATATATATACAGCACATAGAAATATGTATATACAAATGCCCATAAGTATTCATATATAGGCACATGCATGTCCTCTCATACCACCTCCCATACCTAATGGCATACATATCTACCTATGTAACCACACACTAATTTTTTGTTGTTATTATTGCTGTTGCAGAATGTTATAACATTTACTGTAGTTGTCTTTTATTCTTGCATATTTCTCAGTGTCTTCATTTACCTTGGGCACATTGTGTTGACTTCCACTTACTGTAAATTGCCTTTCCCTTCACCAGAATTGGCACGTTTACTATCTAGTAAGTGATTCTCCCGCTCCCTCCTATCCCATCCTAACTATCAAAGAACATTGCTTTCTGTGTGTAAACCTACACTTGACTTTTTATAAAAGTGGTATCACACAATATTTGCCCTTTTGTGATTGACTTATTTCACTCAGCATAACATCATCCAGATTCATCCATGTTATAAGATGATTTGCGGACTCCTCATTATTGTTTATCATTGCATAATATTCTATTGCATGTATGTACCATATTTTGTTAATCCATTCATCCCTTGATGGACACTTAGGTTGTTTCCATCTTTTTGCTGTTGTGAATAATACTGCAATGAACATGGGTGTGCATGCATCTATTCTTGTCACTGCTCTTATTTCTCTAGGATATATACCTAGGAGTGGGATTGTTGGATCATATGGTATTTCTATTTCTAGCTTTTTGAATAAACACCATACCATTTTCCATAGTGGTTGTACCATTTTAAAAATCCCATTAGCAATGTATAAGAGCATTTGTTGTTTTCTGTTTCAATAAATCTTTGATGAAGAAATCTCTAACTGGGATTAGCTGAATCCTGTTGGGACAGCTACGCTTCCTCCTCCCTATTATAATGCCAAGGGCAGCCTGTTGGAGGTTGAACTATAGCTCCAGCCCTGGGGCCCCTGAGTGAATATAAGTCAGTGCAAGTTTGTTTACTGCCTACTATATGCTTAGGACTGTGCTGGGCAGCAGAGTGAGGCCTGGTGGGTCCTTCAGGTTTCTAGGCTAATAGAAGAGATGGAAAGAAGGTGACACTTGATGAACAAGATTAGACAGTTTAGAGTAGGTCTTACTCCCAGAGTGAGTTACCAAGCATGTAGAAAAATAGCTTTGTTACTTTACAGTACAGAACTTGGCTGCCTAATTTCATCACCGATCTCAGTCACCAGATTGGGTGCTGAGCAACTGAGATGTTTCTTCAAATTAAAAATCCATTCTCATGGGTTGCGGAGCCACCACCATTCTTGGTTCTACTTAAGGCATGTACCACCAAGCCCAAGGGAAGTTCTAAAAGATGGGCTCCAACCCTGTTTTGAGAGACAGTGGCACTGAATTAAGGAATTCATAGATTCTTGCTTTTAAGACGATTCAGAGCATTGAATGCTTGGTGCTCCTGCAAAGAACTTTCCAACCTCTGCTTGAATGCCTCTAGTGATAAGGAGCTTCCTGACTCCTGTGGAAGCACACTCATTGCTTTTAGATAACTATCTCTATTTGGTAGAACACTTTCCTTTCTATTGACTGGAAATCTATTTTCTATTGGTTGGTTCTCACTCATAATAAAGGCCAGAGCAGCATGATTGACCGTCTGACCCTCCATGCCATGTCTGCAGTTTCTCCAAAGGAGATCATTTTAAACAGGAGCACAGATTGTGTATGTGAAGATGCTCATCTCAGAGCAGTTGATAATAGCCATTGAAGCCACACAGAAGAAAAACAGAGCCCCCTCCCGTGGGCCAGTACTTCAGGTATTAGAAAACAGTTCTTTCCTTCCTTCCCAAGTTTTTCCTCTTTCAGCTCCTTTGTTTCTCATGTGATATGTTCTGAACTGCCTTTCCTGTCTGGTTTCCTTTCCTCAGAGGTGGTCTTTATCCCTCTTATGCTATCATCCCCAGGTCTGATGACACGACTGCAGACTTTATCTGACCAATGTGGAAATATAATAATGGAGACCGCTAGGCAGTAGGCTCTTTATTCATCTGTCAGTTTGTCATACTATGGTGGTTTATGTTTTGTGATGCTGGAGCTATGCCACCAGTATTTCAAATACCAGCATAGTTACCCATGGTGGACTGGGTTCAGTAGAGCTTCCAGACTAAGACAGACTAGGAAGAAGGACCTAGCAATTTACTTCTGAAAAAATTGGCCAGTGAAAACCTTATGGACAGTAGTAGAACACTGTCTGATATAGTGCTAGAAGAAGTACCCTACAGATTAGAAGGTGCACAGAATACAACTAAGGAAGAGCTGCCTCCTCAGAGTGGAGTTAACCTTAGTGGTATGCATAGGGTAAAGCTTTTGAGACCTTCATTTGCTGATGTGACATTACTCAAAATGAGAAGGAACAGCTACAAACATCTATTATGATCAGAATGTGGAATGTACAAAGTAGGAATCTAGAAAAATCGGAAGTTGTCAAAAATGAAATGGAATGCGTACAGATCAAACATCCTAGGCATTAGTGAGCTGAAGTGGACTGGTATTGGCCATTTTGAATCAGGCAGTCATATTGTCTACTATGTTGGGAATGACAAACTGAGGAGGAATAGCATCACATTCATTGTTAAAAACAACATTTCAAGATCTATCCTGAAGTACAACGCTGTCAGTGATAATAGCCACATGCCTACAAGGAAAACCAATTAATACAACTCAAATTTATGCACCAACCTCTGCTGCCAAAGATGAGGAAATTGACGATATTTACCAGCTTCTGGAGTCTGAAATTGATCAAACATGCAATCAAGATGCATTGATAATTACTGGTGATTGG